AGATCAGACCGTTAGCATAGCTGCTGTAGGATAAATAATAATAAATAATAACCCCAGCCTATTTAGTCAGACCTTGATTAAGTCTAGATGATTTTAAAGTTGCTGAAGTAAACTCCCTTCCCCTCTGAGACGCTCGATGGGCATCCAGTGATAACCTTTTTAATCTGAGGTTTAAAGCCTTTATTTTCAGTTCAGTTTATTTCTAAAGCTCTAATTCACATCATCTCAGGTCCCTTTACAGAAACACTTCAACCAGATCGTGCAGATTGGTTTAAAGCTATCTTAATATATTCTGCACTAAAACTTTATCTCCTTTTAATGAGTTAGATTGAAGACTCATTAAATGTTTCTGACATTCTTCCCCATTAAAACAATAAAATCATCTTTTTATTTCGATACTTTAGACTTTATCTGCCTGAACCGCAGCGTCTTTTGATAATTCGCTGTTTGATTGAGAGATACTGTAGAGGATTAACAGGAGCAAACCTGCATTTTTTTATTCATATAAAAGAAAAAAATGAAAAACCACCCTGTTTGCATCACAAACCCATCTAAACACTCTTTGCGATATTAAAGGTTGTTGAATGCGATCAAAGTCCAGATCCAGGTCAACGAGGTTTTGATCTAATTAACATGTCCTGCATAATTACATGCTTCTTCACCACATTACTGCCAGGATCAATCTGCAGCATCTGAGGGAGGGTTTAATGATTCACATGGACCAGAGGAGGAAACCTGCAGTTCAAGCTCTGCAATAAAACATCTGTGCAGAGAAAAAAAGAGATGAAACAACAGCTGCTTTGGTGTAATGAGTGCAGAGGAAGCCATTGCTTCACCTTCAGCTCAGGATCTCCACAGTCTAACAGTCAGATGCTGCTTCCTTTGTTTATCTTCCAGGCCTGACTCCAGACAGACTCGGTCCTCCGTCCCACGATGCCAGCCCAGTGAGCCCTGAAGCTACAACACCAGGAGCTCACTCTCCATCCCACCTCCACTACCACAGCCAGGCTCAGCACAGACGCTTTTCCATGGAAGTAAGAATCCGGCAAAACTCCGAGATGCTTCATTCATCCTGACCTGGAATTAAACCAGCGGAACAAACTGCAGCTGAAAGCTGGGAAATAGATAGAATTCTGTAATAAAAAAAAAATCAATAATTTCAACTAAATATTACGGAAGAGGATTAGAGCCACAGAAAAAAATATGTTAACTGATTTTTTTTTTTTTTTTTCAGTATAGTATGGGAAAAATGTCAGAATTCTGAGATTAAAGTCAGAATTCTGACTTTTTTCTCATGTTAAACTGAAATAAAACTTAAAAATCAGTTTACTTTTTTTTTCAGTGGCCCTAATCCTCTTCCGTACCTTTGTGTTTAAAACACTATTTCAAATAAATAATCCTCTTATTACTCCAGTATTTAGCAAACCAAGTTTTTTCTCATCCTACCTGACAATAAAAAACAAAGAACAGTTTTTAATCTGATTTAATCTCAGCCAGAATAAAGTCAAAGTATTTATGCTATAAGGTAATTTGTTGGACTACAAATGTATGACCTGAGTATAAATAGAAGTCTGTAAAGTTTTATGAAGGTCAGGAAAAGTCTTAAAGCAGTTCTAAAGTAGAAAGGGGTTAAATCTAAACTTTTAATTTGTAATTTAATTGATATTATGTGATTAAGAAATAAATTTTATCTCCATCCTTTATTGATACGGTTCAGGAGAAACTAGATTGTCAATATCTGGTTCCAGGTTTTAATCCCTGAGAATCAGGAACTTTGTTGACCAAAGTTAGGAAATTACAACATTTTATTTTATATAAATAAATCATTCCAGATTATCTGTAGAACTAGACTGCTTTAATTTCCATTTTTTAGTTTCACTCTCTCCTCCCATCAGTGCCAATGTTGATTTGTTCCATAATTAGCAACATGTTACGGTGAAAAACATCAGAAAATGATCTTTTTTTTGTTGCGTCTTTCAGGATGTGAGCAAACAGATGGCTCTGCCCATGGACATCCGCCTACCTGCAGAATTTCTCCAGAAACTGCAAATGGAAAGTGAAAATTCTCCACTCTGCAAACCTCTGAGCCGCATGTCCAGACGGGCTTCCCTGGTAAGTAACCACTGGGTTATCTCTGCTGGGGGGTTATCTCTACGGGGGGGTGTATCTCTACAGGGGGGTTTATCTCTACAGGGGGGTTTATTTGAACAGGGTCGTTTATCTCTACAGGATGGTAACAGTCAGTAACCTTTTCTAAACCATTTATTTACAGATTAAAGTTGAATCTCATCAGAAAGCATCGATGGAATAAACAGTCTTCTTTTTTCTTTCTTTAGTCTGATATAGGATTTGGGAAACTGGAAACGTATGTGAAGCTTGGAAAACTAGGTGAGGTACGTGACTGTTGGTTAATCTCTAAAGCTCTTCTCCATCTAATGCAACATTTCATGTAAATATTTTATATAAAAATGAGTCCATGATAAATAATAATAGATAGTATTTATGTCCATTATGAAGTTTATCCTGCATTATTTAACCATATAACCTATTCAATTTAAGGAAATAAAAACTAATGTTGTTAACTGCTGTGAAACCCATAGAAACAGGAAGTCTATATCAGACTCAGATGAATCATCATGACTGTTTGTTAAACTCCATGAGGAGTTCAGCTCATATGCAGCAGCTCTGAAGGTCAGGAAGTCCCAAAGCTAAAGGAACCATAGATAGGAAGCATCCTTCCTCCAGCACTATTTGGACAACACTTAGCATGATGACTGCTGACACGCTTTGCCTCAGTTATCCTGGTTCTGAAATAAACCAAAACAAAACCACAATGTTCATTTTCTTTTATTATCACAGATGAAGCTGAACTTTAACTTTAATTAATCCGATTCTCTACAACTGAAGTCCAATTTAATCTGAAGTAGAACCAATGGAACTTCATCAATAAACGGTTCTGGAAAGTGTTACTTTAAAGCTGTGCTCACTTATTAAACAAAGTCATTGCATCCTATTTATGTATTTTTTTCCCATCTTCTTCTTACAATTTGTTTTGTTTGTTTTATTAACAAAAATAAAAAAGTCTTAAAATAACCTTTGATGGTCTGATATTTTTTAAAATCATAAAAACGTTTTATACCTACTGTAAAATAAAAAGAATACAGATACATGCAGAATAGAATCCAAATATTTGAAATGAATGAAAAGCTCCTTCATCAGACTGATTAGAGCAAAGTCACATCAAAGCAACACTTTCCTCATTAGAAAATGAGGAAAACTTTTTGCTTATTTACTAAAGTCACCTTCTGGCTTTAACTGACTTTTATTTTTATCTCAGTGTGTCTGGAAATGTGGCAATAAAA